GAGATAGAATCACCAGGTCCCTTCCTCAGCTGCATGGGCCTCCACTCTTTTTGGTGTGAAATGGAGACCTCAGTGAACTCCAGTGTTGCTGGCCCTTCACGATCGACACCTCTTTTGACAGTCATTACAACCAATAAACTGAATTGTAATGTTAACCCAGAAACTAGTATTAAAAATGACCAACAAGCAAACTTGGTTATCCCTCAGGGATTACTTAAAAAGAGTGTAAAGTTTGTGAAAATCAGGCTAACACTCAGATATGTAGGATCTGATTTCCAGAGGTAATTGGCATGTAAACAGAGGTGGAGTTGAAGGAGAAGACCCTCTCCAGATGGAGAGAAATGACCAAGAAAGCTGTAGGTCACAGAAACCTTGTCTAATTTGATCTCAGATACAGATATCTTTAGTGATATAAACCCCAAGGGGCTCCAGGCAGCATTGCTATTAATCAATTAATTTGTTTATTTATTTGATGCCAGTCCTGGGGCTTGAACTCAGGGCCTGGGCCCTATCCCCGAGCTTATTTTTTTCTTTTCCTTTTAAACATTTTTTCTTATCTTTAAGTAATTGCATTAAGAAGTTGCCATTCACCAAAGCAGTTTATGAATACAGTGTGTCTTGATCAAATTTGCCCCTTTCAATAGTCTCACCTACCCCTTCCCTTGCTTATCTTCATTCTAGGTTATGTATTGATTTTTTGGCCATTTAATCAAGCAGTTTATGTGTACAATGCATCTTGAGTCCTGTGATCACTTCAATATCTTCACTTCCACTTTGACCCACCAGTCCCTTAAATTTCTCAATCCTGTGGTATATGCAGGGAATTCTTGCCTGCCTTCTCCCCATTCCCTGTTCATTCTTCTATCTCTCCACTTCCCTCTTGTAAGTACCCATTTCCTGGTGCTTCTCTTGTTGGACTTTGACTTAGTCTTTTTAAAGTGTTATACTATTTGTGACCTCCATACTCTGCTACACTTTAGTTAATTCATTTGTAACCCCTTGCTTACTATCCAGTGTGTTTACTTGTAGCTGTGTCAGCACATTCTAGCTACCACAAATGAGGGAAGTCATACAACCTATGTTTCTTTGTGTCTGACGTACACTCTATCACTTGAGCACAGCTCCACTTGCAGCTTTTGGCTGGTTTATTGGAGATATGGACTTTCCTGCCTGGGATGGCTTCAAACTGCGACCCTCAGATCTCATCTTTCTGAGTAGCTGGGATTACAGGTGTGAGCCACTGATTCTGGGAAGCTCTTTATTTTTGAAGCAAGGATATCATTTGGAAAATAGTATCAGCGAGTTGCCACAGTTGGTTAATGGGATGTAACCATCTTCAACTTACACAGCTTGAGTTTTTATGAACACCTTTCTTGGATATAATTAAACAAAAAACATCTGTCAGGAAAATTTGAATCGCACTGTCCTGAGATGATAGCACAAAGTAAGGAGCTGCAAAGTTAATGTCCGTGCCACTGGGCAGTGTCTCCGCTGTTCAGAGACAACCATGTTTTCTGCTAATGGAGCCACAGATAGGGGACAATTCTCTTCTGGGGAATTTTCTAAAATGAGAACACATCCCAGCAGTACAGAATTAGCAAGAAAGTAGAGTATCTTCAAATGCAAATTTCCTGACATTTCCAGCTACTCAAATAATTATCCTACCTGGGTGAACTAATAATAACTTAGTTAAAGGTTTCAATTTAGTGTAACCAAATGTAATGCAAAAGTCACTTAGGAAGACAAACGTGAATTCCATTTTAAGACTTGCTGAAAGTGGGATGTCTCTGTCCTCTTCCTCCTTTCTTCTACTCCGAATGTCACAAGCAGTGGCATGAAGTGCTTTGGGCAGGATGGAAAGTAAGAATATCATGAAGTATGTTGCTTAGCCTGTGAAACTGGTGTCCCCTTGCTCATCCCAGGGAGGGAAGTCAGAGTCCCTGGGGGCAGTTGTCCCTTCATACCTTCAATTCTTTCTTTATTGTGCTAGAACCATTTTACCTAGTGAATACTTGAAAGCAAATCCATTTCACCAGTCTATCTCCATAGCAAAAATAATGTTCAGAATCTGTAGAGATTTAAAGAAACTTTTTGAAATCTTGGCATAATGTTTGAATCTCTGTATATATGTGTCTAGCACAGGGTCAGGTACATGGTAAGTACTCTACTCTGAATTAAATTGGGAAAAGGAAAGTTACTAAAGGGCACTGGAAACTTCTAGAAGGAATTTGTCAATATTCATCAGTTGACATAAAACTGTTTATATGTCTTTGATCCAATAGTTTTGTTCTAGTGAATTTATAGAGAGTCTTAAGTTCTAAGAGATTTACTAATGAAGCTATTTGTTGCAAATATTGTGTTTGTAAAAAAATCAATTAAAACCAATGATTTCCCTGTGGTTGAGTATTTAATAACAACTCTTGATCTGGGTTGGTGTAGTGGCTCACATTGGTAATACCAGCTACTTTGGTAGTAGAGGTCAGAAGGACTGAAGTTCAAAGTCTAACTTGGGGCAAAAATGAGCCAGTCTCAAGCTATAGACGAGAATGGTGGTATAGATCTGTATCCCAACTAGATGCAAACATAAATAAGAGGATTGACATTTCAGCTGGAAAGACCCTATTTGAAATGTACAATTGGTGGCTGGCTCAAGTGCCTAGCAAGTGCAAGGCCCTGAGTGGAAAACCCATACATCAAATCATCATCATCATCATCATCATCATCATCATCATCATCATCACCATCATCATCGCCATCAACATCATCACTGTGATAAATCTATTGAAATGAACATTATGCAACCAATAAATGGATACTTGTCAAGACTAGATCACAATGTAAATATCTGATAGAAAGTTATGTGTGTGTGTGTGTGTGTTTAAAAGTTAAATATGCAAACATAATAAAAAGGCTGTTTGAGTGAAAATCCTCCAGGTAAAAATTAGCTAGTGTTAATTATACAGGGGGAGATTTCTTGTTACAACTCTACAAACATTTGCACTATATTCCAATTAATCTACTATGGGTAATATTTTTAAAAGATCATTTTGATATTTTCAAATCTCTTTGTATTGTTTTACAAAAGAAACTTTTAAATTTAGCTGAACATCCAATTGTCATACCTAACAGATACTTGAATTAAGTTGGCTTCTTCTTTCCTGTCCACAAACCACTTTCTATGCAAATAATTCACAATGATTAACAGTCATATATAGATCAGGCTGAGGTCCATAAATTCTAAATAATTCACAACTCGCTAATTGGAGAGTTACAGAGAAGCACACATCCAAGCTTCTTATGGAATAAAAAGCCCACACTACTTGCATGTGAGGATTTCCTATTATGTAAGTAGAGCACATTGTTTTGTGGAAGTAGCCACATAACAAGTTGTATTTTTTTTTTGCAGGGGATCTTATTTTCTGTAATTTGTTACATGTGATTATTTTATTTATAATTATACATAAGAAAGGATTTATAACATGAAAATAGAAAACATGGTCCATTAGTGTAATCCAACAAGCAAAGCTGATTCACATGGTTGAGTATTTTTTAATGTAGTTGCAATTATTTTATTTCATTTTTTATAGGTGTATATTAAATGGTACCAAATCAAGTTAATCAAACAGACAAATTGGTTGGCTTTACTATTTTAAGCTGAGAATATACTAGAATGTTACAGTTTTTTCTAATTAAAATGTTTTTTTTTTAGAGAAATAAATGCAAACATTTCTATAACATTGATAACTGAAAGGAAAGATAAGTAAACTTCTGGTTCATCTCCTATCATTGATAGCTAAAATAACTCTAAGAAGCTTTGATATTGTCTTTGACTAAAAGTTTGTTTCTTCCAAATGCAACCACAGGGAAGTTACATGTGAAATAATGAAAGGAATCACAGATATTTTGTGACTTATAAATGCAGTAATTATTTATTTTGCTTTTCTATGGACATTTAAAAATGAATAGTTCCATTATCATGTTTATTGGTCAAACATTTTAATGTCACTCTTAAAGAAGAACCTAACATTATTGACTTAAATTATCTTAGGAAGATTATAATGATTAGGCTTATGCTTAAATGAGTCAAACTGTCTTTAATAGATATTTAATAATGCAAAATCTGTTATTTTTCTTAAATAAGGCTGTTTTGTGGCTTATTTTCAAATTCTGTTGAAGATTGGTCATAAGTAGTAACTCAGCTAAGTTCTTTCATTTTTACAGCTTCAAAACAAACAAAACCTACCCAAAGCCAGGTGCCAGTAAGCACATGCCTGTAATCTTAGTTACTCAGGAGACTTAGAGACCTGAAGATTAAGGTTCAAAGCCAGCGTGGACAATAAAGTGTGTGAGACTCTTATTTCCATTTAACAACCAAAAAGCAGGAAGTGGAGTTGTTGCTTAAGTGGTAGAGCACTGCCCTTAAGTGAAAAAGCTGAAGGACAGCACTCAGGTCCTGAGTTCAAGCCCTAGTACCAACCCAAAACCAAATAAGCAAACAAAAAACCAAGTTTAAGCAAGTTGTCATCATAAGTACTGGTGATGAAGCGTTCATATTTCCTATGGGGAAGGAACTAATGATATAATTTTGAGAAGTATGAAACACATTCTAATCTGATTATAACTATCTTAAGATATTGACTTCAAATTTACATTTAGTATGTTGGCTTTCGGTGGAGAAATGGAATCATTTTCATGGATCTACTGATGTTATTGGTATTAAAGATATGATTTTTCCGTAGATGCTTTGTCACAGCAAGTAGAATACCTTCACCTTTCTTATATCGTTAACACAAACTGCACTTAAGATTTGGTAGTAAATATAAAACATTATTAAATGAGTATTTCTGAAAATTAAAATTCCATCAGCCAACCAATTATTTACTCTTCCACCATATACCCACCCTCTGAGGCACAACGGTGACTTTGTTGAATCTGAGCACTCTCTTCTATAAATAGAATATCAATAAAAATATATTTAAACCAACATTTAAATAACTTACCTTTGCTTCCTTGAACTTGTAGAAAAATCCAACAAACAAAAATAGCTCTTTTTGTTTCCAAATACATCCTGGCTTTTGGGCATTGGCAGGTCTGAGAAGAAAATCACAGGACAACCTCTAGGATTGATGGAAAGAAGAGAATGATGGAAGTCTGAAAATGACTGATGTTGTAGTGCCAGCTGAGTGAGAATATGAGAATCGCCTTCTTGCTTTAGTTTGCCTTAGTAAAGGTGTCAGCGTGTGCAGAACATACTCAGTGTCTGTGTGTGGGATAATCTGTTTATCTTCCCCCTTAAGTGTAATCTCAGCTTAAGGGCCAGCTGGAGGCAGCTTTATCTCATTAACCTTCTGAAGAAGCAGCTGTCAGTCTCCCGTCCTGGGTGCCATTGTACCCACATATCCACAGACAGCCTTACCCTGTTACTATAACACAGAGCTGGCTGGAGGTCTCCCCAAATTCCTAAGGCTGCCAGTTGAGGGCAGATATTTTCCGAAATGACATGTCCAAGCCGCATCTTTTGAAAATTCTTAATTGCTATCTTTGGAAGTCTGTGATTATTTATTTAATATGTGTAAGTTTCCACAGATAGCAAAGCAATCTCCACTTTCTTCTCTGTACTGTTTTATAATTGTGTGTGTTTCCATGGTAGAGTTTAGTGTGGGAACATATAGGCACAAGAGAGAAATGATCTGGACTGGGTGTCTGTCCACACCTCAAACATTTGTCATTTCCTCTTAGTGCTGGAAATATTCAAAAACATTTTTATTAGTTAGTTTGAAATATAGAATTAGCCAGCTGCTGGTGGCTCATGCCTGAAATTCTGTCTACTAGATCACAGGATTGTGAGGAACTGAGGTAATAATAAATTTGTGAGCCTCGTCTTTCCAACTGATAGTAAAAAGGCAGGTATGGAGGTGTGGTTCAAGTGGTAGAGCCCTAGCTTTGAGAGAAAAAAGTGAGTAAGAATGCAAGGTCTTGAGTTTAAGTCCCAGAAATGGCACACACACACACACACACACACACACACATACTGAGAAATATAAAATTATTCTTTGCTAACTCTAGTTGCCCTACTCCTACTGCACAATAGAATAGCAGAAAATATATTCCTCTGTCCCAATGGTACTCATGAACCCCTTAACTATATCTCCTCTTTCTACCCGTTCCCCCCTCCTCCCTGACCCTGGTAACTGTGATTGCATTCTCTATTTCTGTGAGATCAATTTTGTTAACTTATGCACACGAATGATTAACATTGCAGCATTTGCCTTTCCTTGCTTGATGTTATTCATTTCAAGTAGTATCTTGCAGTCTCATCCTTATTGTTGCAATTGACTAGAGTTTATACTCACTCTTAACCACTACCTGCTATGAAATTGTCTTATTTCTATTAGAGTTTTTTTTAAGCTATCCTGGAGTTTGAACTCAAGGTCTTGGGCTTGATAGGATGGTGCTCTACTCCTTGAGACATATCTCTAGTCTTGCTTTTTGCTGGTGATTTTGGAGTTGGGATCTGGTAAATTTTCTGGCTGGGCTGGCCTCAAGTTATGAGCACTTAGAGCTCAGCCACTTGAGTGGCCAGGTTTATGGGTGTGAGCCACTGGTGCTGGCCATAAAAGTATTTCAAACTCAGTTTAAACTGTATGTGAGAAATATATCTTCATTGAGGCAACAGAGTGCTTTGTGGATTATCTTATTTTTCTCTCTTATTTCTAACTAAACATAAAGCAATAAATTTTCTCCAGATGTTACCCAACGTGTGTGAATTTTTTTTGTCATACAGGTAAACACTGCAGAGTCTGTCTTTCCCAGGGCTTTCTTACCCACTCCAGTATTGTTTAATTTCCTGTCATTGTGTTGACAGCAGTCTCTTAGAAATCTTTTTCAAGTCATCAAAAGGATTTCTTTCTTATAATATGAATATGTATTTTTATGTCAAATTAATTAAGAAAATGATAAATTAGCAAAGAAAATAAATGAAATAACCAAGTTGCTCATAAAAGTAGTCAGAGAACATAGGAAAACTTGCAAATTCACTAACAATGAAAGGAAAACAAATTAAAGCAATAAGATAACATTATTTAGGTCTTCAGATGGCCTAAATCAGCCTAGAGAGGCACCTGGAAACATTACAAGCGGTTGGCCCTAGAGAAGAGCGGACAGGTAGGAAAGAGAAAAGAGAACTATAATTCTTCTATTCATTCTAGTTTTCTTGAGCCCCTTTTCCATGTTGGATTCTGTGTTTTCTGTATTCTTCATTGTCTTCTTCTCCTCCTTCTCCTTCTTCTTTGACTTTGTTTGTTTAGAGATCTGACGTGTTTGAAAATGGGGCTGGGAAGGTGGCTCAGTGGTAGAGCACTTGCCTTGCATGCTCAAGGCCCTGGGATCGATTCCTCAGCACCACATAAGCAAAAAGAAAAAAGCCAGAAGTGGCGCTGTAGCTCAAGTGGTAGAGCGCTAGCTTTGAGCTGAAGAGCTGAGGGACAGTGCCCAGGCCCAGAGTTCAGGCCCCATGACCGGACCCAAAAAAAAAAAAAAAAGAAAATGCTTTCCATCTGCCTTCCTCCTTGACAGTCTTGCCAGATTCAGAATTCTTCTTAGAATACCAAAGACACCTGTTGCACAAATTCCAAAACTTGCTTTCTTTTTTTAAAATTTATTGTGAAAATACTGTACAGAGGGGTTACAATTACATGGGCAAGATAACGAGTACGTTTCTTATCAATCATTGTAGCCTCCTCCTTTGTTTCCCCTTCCCATCCCTTCCCATCCTCCCCCCCCCCCCCCCCCCTCCCTGCCCCCCCCCTACCCACACCAAAGTTAAAACTTTGTTTTTGACATAACAACTTGTACATCTCATTGCTGCAACAGGTCCACCTGTATCCCTATTTAAACGATTTGTTTTTCCCTTCCCCTCCACAAATTATACCGACATCAAATACAGTGAAAGCAGGGGTTATACTGTGTGGGAGGAACATACAAAGTAACAAAGAAGTAACAAAGAAACCTAGGTCCCATGGTTTCCCTTATTTGCAATATCTAGTATATGTATGAGTCAAGCAGAAAAGGTCAGATAATGTGATGTTAAGAAAATGAACCCTTATGTATTTTACTATTTTTTTCTTTCATGCATTTGTTTCTAATGCATTTATAAGATTATTTCTTTGTTGCTTTGTATGTCCCTCCCCCACAGTATAACCCCTGATTTCACTATATTTGATGTCAGTATAACTTGTGGAGGAGATGTGGAAAAACATGTCGTTTAAGGATACAGGTGGACCTGTTGCAACAATGAGAAGTATAAGTTGTCATGTCGAAAAAGAGCTTTACAAAGTTGGTGGGGGGGGGAGGATTGGGTGGGGGGGGTAGGCTGAGAAGGGATGTGATGGGCAAACAAAGGAGGAGGCTGCAATGCTTGATAAAAAATGTATGCATTATCCTGCCCATGTAATTGTAACCCCTCTGTACAGTATGTTCTCAAAAAATATAATAAAACAAAATGAAAAACAATAAGTGTGTTAGAAACAATTGCATGAAAGAAAAAAAACATTTGAATACATATTTTAGGGTTCATTTCCCTAACATCACCTTATCTGACATTTTCTGCTTGACTCAGACATATACTAGATATTGCAAATAAGGGAAACCATGGGACCTATGTTTCTTTGGGCCTGGCTTACTTCACTTAATATAATTTTTTCCAAGTTTTTCCATTTCCTAACAAATGGGGCAATGTCATTCTTTCTGATGGAGCATAGAATTCCATTGTCTATATATACCACATTTTCTTGATCCATTCATCTACTGAGGGGCATCTGGGTTGGTTCTATATCTTAGCTATGGTAAATAATGCTGCAATAAACATAGTTGTGCTGGTAGCTTTAGTAAGGTCTTGTTTGTGAACATTTGGGTAAATGCCCAAAAGTGGGATTGCTGGGTCATAGGGGAGCTCTATGTGGAGTCTTCTGAGGAACCCCCATACTGCTTTCCAAAGTGATTGAACAAGTTTACACTCCCACCAACAATGCAGTAAGGTTCCCTTCTGTCCACATCCTCTCCAGCATCTGTTGTTATTAGAGTTCTTGATTATAGCCATTCTAACTGGGGTGAGGTGGTATCTCAATGTTGTTTTGATTTGTATTTCTTTTATGGCTAGGGAGGTTGGGCATTTCCTCATGTGTCTATTGGCCATCCTTCTTCAGAGAAGTTTCTATTTAAGTCTTTAATCCACTTATTTATTGGGCAGTTGTTTCTTTGAGGATTTGTTGTTGGGGAATTTGATTTTTTGAGTTCCAGAGTGTATTTTAGATATGAGACCCTTGTCCATTGTGTGGCTAGTGAATATCTTCTCCCAATCCATGGGCTTTCTATTGATCTTGCTAGCTATGTCCTTTGCCATGCAGAAGCTCTGCAATTTCATGTAATCCCATTTGTCCAACCTTTCTTTGATTTGTTGTGTTTCTGGGTTTTTCTTAAGAAAATTTCTGCCTGTGCCAAGGAGACCTAGGGTTTCTCCTATTCCATCCTGTAGTGTTTTCAAAGTGTCTTCTTTGACTTCGAGGTCTTTGATCCATTTGGAGTTGATTCTGGTGCAGGGTGATATATAAGGATCTAGCTTTAGTTTTCTACAAGTAGTTAACCAATTTTGCCAGCACCATTTACTGAAGAGGCTGTCTTTCTTCCATTCTATTTTTTTTTAGCTCCCTTATCGAAGATTAGATGGCTATAGGTCTGTAAGTTCATTTCTGGGTTTTCAATTCTATTCTATTGGTCCTGAGGTCTTTTCTTGTGCCAGTACCAATCTGTTTTGATTATTATGGCTTCATACTAGAGTTTGAAATTTGCTATTGATATTCCTCCAGCAGTGTTCTTTCTGTTGAGGATCGTTTTTGCTATTCAGGGTCTCCAAAGCTTTCTTAACTATCATCTTCTCTATTGTTGTTAGTTGAGGCTTCCCACTTAGAAGATTCTTTTGTTGGGCACCGGTGGCTCACTCCTATAATCCTGGCTAATCGGGAGGTTGAGATCTGAGGGTCACAGTTTGAAGCCAACCAAGGCAGAAAATT